CGATTTGTGTCAAAATGTCTAACATGTCAACAGGTGAAGGCTGAGCATCATAGGACATCTGGGTTATTGCAGCCCCTTCCTATTCCCGAGTGGAAGTGGGAACATGTTACGATGGACTTTGTCACAGCTCTGCCGAGGAGCCAGAAGGGAAACAACGCCGTATGGGTAGTAGTAGACCGACTCACTAAGTTGGCTCGATTCATACCATTTCGAGTTGGACAGACGACGAAGAGTTTAGCGGAGCTTTACATGAGGGAGATAGTACGCTTGCATGGGGTACCGGTTAGCATTGTTTCTGATAGAGACATGGTTTTTATCGCACTTTTGGAGGAGCTTGCAGCAGTGTCTTGGGACTAGACTGAGTTACGGCACAACTTATCACCCTCAGACAGATGGACAATCAGAGAGGACTATACAAATTTTGGAGGACATGTTGCGGGCATGCATGCTAGATTTCAAGGGCTCTTGGGAAGACCACTTACACTTGGTTGAGTTTTCTTATAATAAGAGTTATCAGGCCAACATTCAGATGGCACCTTATGAGGCTTTATATGGGAGAAAATGTAGATCTCCTACATGTTGGGATGACTTGGGAGAGCGGAGTTTACTAGGTCCTGAGATAATAGTGCAGACAGTAGATAAGATAAAGAAAATACAGGAGCGCCTTAAATCAGCTCAGGATAGACAGAAGAGCTGGGCTGATGCTAAGAGGAGACCTCTACAATTTCAGGTTAGAGAGCATGTTTTCTTGAGGATATCCCCAACTAGAGGAGTTATCAGATTTGGCAGCCGCGGGAAGCTTAGTGCATGTTTCATCGGTCTCTTTGAGATATTGGAGAGAGTAGAAGAGATGTCATACCGACTAGCTTTGCCTCCGTCGTTGGAGGGAGTGCATGATGTGTTCCACGTATCATAGCTTCGACGATATGTACGAGATGAGACCCACGTCCTAGACATCACAGAGCTTCAGATTGGGATAAATTTATCATATGAGGAGCGACCAATGAAGATTTTGGATCGACAAGAGAAGGTCCTCAAGAATAGAACTATCCCAATTATCTTAGTATCTTGGGGACATCATGGACCTGGTGAGGCAACTTGGGAGCGAGAGGATGACATTCGTCAATGCTATCCACATCTCTTTACTACAGGTGACTTTTAGTTCTCCTTATGGTCGGATAAATTTTGAGGACGGAATTTCTTTTCTTAGGTGGGTAGGATGTAATAGTCAATATTTTTGTTATTTATGCAAGGTTTTATTTAAAAAACCCACGGGATAGCGAGTTGAAAAACAAAAACAAACAAAACCTCTTAAGGCCCATTAGTGAGCTAGCAAGCCCATATGTGCATCTTCACCTTCTGCAGGAAATGGTTACAAAATTTTGTGATTATGAGGTTTGTTTTTGATTTTTTTTCCAGGTATTTGCCCAACAAAGTTTCGTGATTTTATCCTCCCAAGTCCAATCATCTCTCTTTTTTATTAAGCTGTAAAATATTTTTGGTTACAACTACTTTTTTTCCCAAATTAAACTTCCTTAGTTTTAGGGTTTCTCCACTCAATCTTTTCCTATATAAACCAATCCCCTCTTCTCCCCATCTCTATTCCAAAATGGCAGGAAAAAGAAAACGAAAAAAAGAAAGAAAAAAAACCAACAGAGAACAAGAGAAGGAGAGAGACAATATTTGGTTTTTCTTTTAGGGTTCATAGTCTTTTCTTCGACAAATCGGCAAGCATTCATTTTCCTCAAATATTTTTACTTTTATAATTATTATTTTTTTTCCTTCATGCAAGCATATATTTTACCCCACTCGTGTGTTTGTATTTCATGATTTTAATATTTGTACGTTATCAATCTGATTAATACACTTTATGTACATATGATATTAGTTTGATAACATTCATTGTAAATAGTTTGATGACATTAGCTGTAAATAGTTTGATGATATTCATTGTAAATAGTTTGATGATATGAGCTGTAAATAAATAAAACTCCATGACCAAATTATTGAAGCCTAGTTTGTGCAGGAAAAGTTGGATAATTTTGACGGCGACAGCTTTTGTTACAAATAGCCTAGAACTAGAGGGAACATAAGGAATAGATATGGACTGAGTGTAAACTTTTATATATTCTTTTTCCTTGCCCTGGTCATATTAGCAAAGAAGTTGTAGTGGTTAGCATGTTTTAGATCGTAACCTGTAGGTTCATTGTTCAAATCTCGTACTTGTCACAAAATAAATAATGTTTTTGTATTGGGCCTGAGCTTCTGTGGGCCTTGACTTTTTATAAGAGTTGTTATCTTATGAGAAGGATTTGATGTTTTGCATACCAATAGAAGTGGGAATTATGCCGGTTTTCGTTCAGGGTTAGGATTAATGTTTTTGGTTCAGGGTTAGGATTAATGTTTTTGTTTAGGGATTAGGTGATTATTTGTCAAATTCTCTCTTTCTGTCATTTAAAAACATTAGTTCCCTTACCGGGTTTTTTAAACTTATATTTATTTTAGTGAACTTGTCAGCTCATTTTATGTATCTTGTTATACTTTGAAATAGATTGTGTGGTTATAATCAGTGTTAATCAGTAAAGTCATCAAATAGGCTAAACTGTGCATGAAGACGACTTCCATCAAAAATATGATTTATAAGCGTGCTTTCATAGCATGGCTATGCTCTCGATATCGATATCTCGATATGAGATTTTTCCTTAGCTACTACTATTATAGTATCGACTAGACGATGAACCCCTCTTAATTGGACATGTTCTAGGTCACGGTTATCATTCATAGCTTTACGGAAGTTGTTCCACAGTAACTATGTGGTTAGTGTACAACATTTCATGCACAGTCACTTAGATTAAACAGAATCCATAGGGTCTATAAAAGGGGAATTAGATGGAGAATATAACATATATATAAACAGGCACTTGCGCCTTCCTGATATCCTGAGTTATATATATACAAGGGCCAAAAGGCCAATACCTGACTTGAAGTCGTGTTCCCGGGACGGTTTACGGGGATCGATTTATATACATAAAAATATTCCTCTTTAATTCAAATAGCATCTAAAATAATAATAATACACTTGTGGGTTGGTGACAAACATTATTTTTTATCTCTATGATTTAGCCTTTTCTTTTATCATTATAAATTTAGAATTTATCTTTTCTTTATATGCCACTTACACTTACACGCGCACAATTTCTTCATTTTACATGCTTGTTGGGAGTTTTCTGACTCCCCTGAAGTTTGTGTGCCCCAGATTCGGGAACCGTTCTTTCTTCACAGGACCGAGAGTATTTCGAGGGGCAGACTCATCGGCAGTGATCACCGTTCTTTTTATTAGTTCTCCAGTTCAATTGATTCAAGTAGTTATTTGGTTTAGGCTTTTCTTTAGCCACATGTGGCTCTCTAAACTATGATATATTTCCCCTTTCTTTTTGGATAGTTGTGGACTTATCAAAGAACTCTAAAATTTTTAGATATTTCTTTATCTATCTAATTTCTTTGTTATCTTAGTTACATGCTCTATGTAGTAGTTCTTTTGCAAATATATTTGTATACAAGAGGTTCTAGAGGTGTGAATGTGACCATATGGTGATATTGTCGACAGAGTCACGTTCCAAACTATTACATTAGAATCAGGGCGTGACAATATCTCAGTGGCTTATAAAGCACACTTTGACTAGTTGTCAAACATGCTCTTTCTATAATAAATGAATGAAATTACTTTTCACATCTTCCAACGGCTGAGAAACTCATTTTTGCATATAACATGACAACCTATGGCGCCGAGGAATCTATTTTGTTCATAACAATATTGGGGGAAAATAAACTTATACATACTAGCCAAAGCTAGAGAAATAAAGGAATGTCGTAAATTTCCTCACATGGATACGAAGAATTCTAAGTACATAAAAAAGATAGAAACAAAAGTATACAAAATAAAGTAGTAGGAAAATAGATATACTTTCACTTTAAAAATTCAGGAAGCAAAAATAGAAACGCATTCCGTTTGAAATTAACTCTAAATAAGGTATTTTTCCTTGATTATTGTCGTAATTTTTCGGGATGCACTCACATTTAGGTATTTTTTTCTTGCACCTCTCTACAATTCGCTGCTAGTGCTAAGGTCATCTCCAACGGAGTTGCAATTTAACGCTAAAACCTATTTTAGCGCAAAAAACTCCCTCCAACCGGTTGCTAAATCACGCGTTAAATTGATGAGGTGCTATAGTGTTGCGCTAGGAATGGTGCAACCCAGTAACTTTAGAGTTTTTTTTGTTTTTCCGATTTTACCCTTAAATTATGTGATAACAAATTAAAAAAAACCTATTGTATCCTATTATATCATTCATTAGCCTTAGTTTACTCCATTTATTTTTAACTTTTATAATGAAATTATAATATAAAATAATTATTAAATTAAAATTCTTTTTGGTGTAAAATTTGGTGTAAATTATTAAAATAAAACAATTTGTTAAATAATTTAAATAGATAAAAATGTTTAAAGATAAGAATAATAAAGGAATTTTTTTTGTTGTAAAATTTGGTGTAATGTGTTAGAGATGGAATAATAATTTAGTATAAAAACTACATCAACTTAATTTAAAAACTACACTATTTTGGATTGGTGATGCTCTAACTAGAGAATGCATTCTCACGCCCCCCACGTCATTATATTAACCACCTAATTAAAGTAAATTTACATGCCCTGCCACTTTCCGCGTTCGTGAATCACGGAGCAGAGAACATTATAGTACCACTGCAGTTAATTCATATTTTTTATAAATTAATTAATGGTACGATGGTATGATACTACACGAGTGTTTGAGTTAAAGATGCTCTAACTAGGGAATGCATTCTCACGCCCCCTCATCTTTATATTAACTACCTAGCTTAAAGTAACCACTGCAGTTAATTCATAATTTTTATAAATAAATAAATAAATTAATTAATTAATGATATGATGGTATGATACTAATTAGATATTTTTCAGACGAACGGCTATTTTTTGGGTGAAGCTTCCTAGAGAAGAAGAGAAGCTATAAATAGATGAGTCGAGGATCAGAAATCGAGCGCTTTTCTATTTGAATTTCTCCCCTCTTTTCTCTCTTCTCAGATCTAGGTTTCTCACATTCGAAGATGGCGATCTGAGTTCCAGCCTCTGATTCGAGTTCGAGAATGTCGTAGGACGCTAAGAATCTCATCGGCGATACTTGTGGTTTGATCTCACTCTTCTCTCTCTCTCTCTCTCTCTCGATCTCTCTAATTTGACGATCGTTCTTTTTCTTGTGCATCTGATCGATGAGATCGCAAGTGTGTAAGGTCTGGAATCGATTTCGTGCATTTTAACCGATTTTTGCAGTTTTTTTTTGTTGATTTTTTTGATTTCGTTGTGGTTTTTGTCTCAATTTTCTTTCTGCTTTTAGACTTAGGTTTTTGTTTCTGTTCGATGAGCGTGATTGGAGTCTCGAGCCTTTGGTTCGAGTTCGAGAGTTACGATCCAATTAGGCGATCGTCTACTTTCTTGAACCGATTTTCTGCGTTTTTTCACAAAATTTTGCACATTTCTTAATTTTTTTCGAATTTTGGATTTCATTGTGGTTTTGTCTTAATTTTTCTTTCTGTTTTTAGACATAGGTTTTTTTCCCTTTGTGTTCGATGTCGTAATTGGAATCTCGAGCCTTTAGTTCGAGTTCGAGAGTTTCTCTGATTGTTAAGATCGCCAATGTGGATTTGGTTGCGCTCTTGAAATTTCTGGAATCGAATTTGTTCAGTTTTTGTTCTTTTTTTTTGCTGATTTCATTGATTTCTAGATTTCGCTGTGTTTCTCCCGTCTTTGACGACCTAGGTTTTTCTCTCTTCGCTTTTCCTTTTCGCGGAATCAAATAGCGTCACTGGAGATTCTAGCCTTGGATCCAAGCTCGAGAATTCGTGCAAGGCCAAGAGGCTTATCGCTGGTCCTAATGGTTCGATCTAACGCCTCTCTTTATTTGATTGTCGACTCGACTTTTGGATCATTGAGTTTCCTGTTAATCTGATTGATAAGTTCACAATTCTGGATCCTGTCAGGTTGTTCGAATTTCTAGAACCAGTTTTGTGCAGTGTTCGTTCCAATTTTTGCAGTTATTTTGATTGCTGGATCTGGCCGTGGTTTTGAGTTTGCACGTTGTTCATAGCGTAGCCCTTTGAATTTTCACTTTTTCTTTCAGACCTGGGGTTTTTTTCTCTTCGATATTTTCTCGGAATTTGAGTTTGGGTTCTTGAACTAGAGTCTGAGAATCTCTCTCTTTTCTCTCCCTCTCTATATATATTTGATAGTCAATTTTTGGCTGATGTTATGTAGTTCTCTTCACGGTGGTTTAATTCTTGTTCATCTGATTGATGAACGGATTTATGATATTTATTTTGTGCAATGTTATTCCCAATTTTTGCAGAATTTTTTGATTTCTGGATTTGGTTATGGTTTTGAGTTTGCTTTCTGTTCAATATCTAATCTCTTCCAGTTTTCTTTCTTTCTTATTTTCTCACACCTAGGATTTAATTTTTCTTTTATGTTAATTTATAATGGTGATTGGAGTTTCGAGCCTAGGATTCAACGTTCTGCATTTTCCCTTCAAGTTGAACTATTATTTTTGGTAATTAATTACATTCTATCATTTAATTTATTGTTCATCTGATTGATAGGGTTGCAAATGTCGATTCTGTTGCATTGTTGAATTTTTTTCAGAATCATTTGTGGACTGTTAATCCCCAATTTTTGCAGAATCCTTTGCTTTCATTTCGGAAAAATAAGGCATCCAGCAAACATTCTATTTGTTAAGTGGCACAGCCTGTGCCATCCCAGGCTGAAGAGCCAAGGATGGATTTTCTCCTGAAGAGATCTTTCTGAAGGACGACAAGTAAGTGCAATTCATAGCCATTAGCCACTGTTAATACAAACTTTTCTCTGCTGCTCTATCTGCAGCAAAAGATACTGTTGTTGTTATGTCTTTGTTAATAATTCTTCCTGTAGCTCATTTTACGGAAAATAATAAGCTGACTAATCAATGAATAACACTTTTCTTATTACTAAGCCCTCTTGTTTTGAACCTTTTCTCATTTAGCTTATTGATTAGTTATGTTTGATAGATAGTAAGCCAGTAGCTTATTTACTAATGTCGTCTTTTCTGGATGAAAGATACAATCCACATCTAATGTTTAATTAATAATTGTCACAGTTAATTGCATGTCCTTTGTATTAAGCAAAGGGATGAAGTATGTTCTATATGATCACATGGTTTAGCATAAGAAATAGAAAACAATAGAATTCACACGGATAATTCTATGTGCAGTTAATATANCTCTTTCATGTTATTGATAATCGATTGGATTATTATAGCTACTTGTGACTAGATAATGATAAATATATTTTAGCTGCATCGCAAAAGGAATCCCGGGGTCTACACGCATTATTTATTTCTCTTACAATTTCTGTTGGCCATAATTCTTCGTACCATTGTGAGGTTTGATACAGACCATAAAATTTTGTAGGTTTCATTTTAATAAAGATAACACAGGTTGTGTATTAGTAAATAGCATCTTCATATAGTTCCTTTTCGACTAAGAAGACTGGATCCATTATCTGTAGTACACATTACTGTTTTTTCTCAATTCACATTAATAATAGAAGAGACATGATTTTTCTCTTTCCTTATTCATAATGTTCCCTTTTAGCTGGCGTTGTTAAACACCACTATCCACATTATACTGAGAAATCATCGATTTGTTTCGGAAACTAGCTCACCCTTGCTTTGCTTCTCAAATTGCTCCAGGTCGATTTGAGATTTACACTGAAGACAGAACAATAGCCTAGTCAAATATACCGTTTTCCCTGGAGTTGAAGGTGAACACATCACTAATTTTGTAATTTATTGTCAATTCACTAAATATGAGTTCGATTTTTCTTCATTGCATCTTTTAGCATTACAACAACGTTGTCTGTGTTGTAGAGGCTTTACATCTAATAGTAGACTTGACTCTTTTTACTTGTGTCAGTACTTGAAGCTATTGAATTATCACTCCTTGCACTAAAAGAATGTTTCTTTTACTTGTGTCAGTACTTGAAGCTATTGAATTATCACTCCTTGCACTAAAAGAATGTTTCTGGTCATTATCTGCAGATGCAGGTGTTTCTTGTCCTCTTGGTGCTTAATGGTCATGATCTTAAACTATTATCAGTTAAAGTTGATGGTGAAGAAGTTAAGGTAGCTCTTACTTATTACTTGTTTACTTCTTGATTTATATGTATTATTATTATTTTTTACTGTGATAGACTTTCCTGCTTCATGTGATTCAGGTTAATAATATGTCTGTGCCAGTTGCTTACAGTTGTTAAAATATGTTGCGAGGGATTGGAACAAAAAGTTTCTAAATATACTTAGTCTTTAGGCATCCTGTGAGAAAACAGGAATTTTATACACTCACATGCGTCTCAGCATGACCGTTTTTCTTTTGTCTGGCCGACATAACTTGTTTGCTACCTGAACAATTACTTGTGGGGTATATGGATTCAGGCAGTGGACAGGGGAGCCAAAAGAACTATATATAGCAAACACTTTCTTTTTAGATAAATGTTAGTATTTAACTACATTCTGGAGAAAAGACAGATGAAAATCACCATGCAGCATATGTAAGATATACTGGTAAGTGGTAGGCAGTTCTGCTTATGGAATTATACGTTTAGTGCTAGACTGCTAGTAAAAAGGATTAACTCATTAGATTGTTTAAGATATGCTTTATATATTCTGAGTTAATCTGACCTCCATTTGGGGAAACTGCAAAAAGAGGGAAGTCGTGACTTTGCCTGTGTATAGTGGAAATGCACGGAAAGCAATAGAACTTAATTCTCTTGTGGTTTATCAGGAATTATGGAAACTATTTTCGGTTTTCAAAGTTTATTTTTAAGAAAAAACAAACTGGAAACTATGACTTTTGTCCCTAGCAACATACTTTGTCCAATAGTAATAAACGTACTGCAAATTTCTATTTTTCATATTCTAGTTCGTCATAGTTTGACTTTTTCATTTTTTACAGAACTATAAATTGTCATTATGAGGCATGCAAGCCTATCATTTTCTGAAATTATTGTAAATTTGTTCACCATTCTTCCTCTTATCAAACGCAGACACGAGTCTTTTCTTGTTCTCTCCTCTAGTTTCTTGGTTCTTTTTGGGTTTCCACACACCAAGCATAGCTTCATGTGCTCCATCAAATATTGAGTTGGGTATAATGGGAAATTTCTATTAAGGTGATATTAGATAACTTTGTTCTGAGTTTCTATGTAAATGCATAGATTATACATGTTAAGAAACTTAAAAGCAGATTTTTGATGATCAGAACGGATAACTTGAGACAGGTTGCATCATCGTTAAGAATATCTGAAGAGCACTGAATGTTTAGGGTGTATTTAGCTAAAAATATCTTGATTATTTAGCTTCTTGTATTGCTTGAAGATCCGGTAACTTAATTGGTTTCCTTTTCATTGTTATTATTGTTTTGGACGATGAATACTTGTTTTTACTTTTTATCTGTTTAGTAATATTGTAGCTATTGCACTTTAAGAGTTTCTTGAAAACTTGCAGCATAATGTTTTATGCCCAAAAGTGCTCTTCTCAAAATAATTAAGCAATTTTGCCGATTTATATGTAATTAGTAAATGCATACCAATTATATAGAGGTTCTACTTTATATCCTTACATACGCGCTCTAAATTTGCAGTGCTTGGTATTGTAATTAAGCATTTATATACTGCCTAAAAGTTCATTGGTGTCACTACATTTTTTAATCTTCTACAGTCTCTCAATTCCTGCATAAATTTTAAGGCTTATGATTTATCGGAGTTATTAAATTGAAGGCTTTGAGCTTTGAAACTTTAATATTATGTATGTATGTATTTATGTACGTATGTTTGTGTGCATGCGCGTGTGTGCATGCATATTGCATATGTATTTATAAATAAATTGAATATACATGCATGCATATTCTTATTTAGATATCTTTGATGAGTGACTATTGTGTCAAGAACATATGTATTCTTATTTAGATATCTTTGATAAGTGAATATTGTGTCAAGAGCAATTGTTTTCTACCTGCATGCAGCCTTGGTGATTTGTTTTTCTGATAATCTCATCATTACTTTGTATCCATCGTTACTTCTCCTGACCTGTAGTAGATGGATTCCTACAGGTGAAGACTGTTTATTAGTTTTGTAATTGTTAGCTTTGGCTTAATGGTTCACGAAAACCGTTTTGAAACTGGAATGCATATTAAGCTTGTTTTGCTAGCTGATTAATTTGACATAGTGTACAGAGTTTTGGCATTACTATCTTAGACATAACCATTTCAAAACTTCACTTTAACAGGTTTTTGAGTTTTTTTATTCTATTAATTCTTATTGTTTTAAAAACATACTTTTGCTTACTTTTCTTAGTAAACTAATGGATTGGAAAGAACGAAGAATAATTTGGATTGAAGTTGAAAAGGTCCATGGAAGCCCAACAATGTCGACAAGCCAAAGAACATTAGGCAAAAGAGATCCTCTCCCATAGACATGTCTCGGACCATTAATGTAATTGCGCAAAATTAATGCAAAACAATGAGTGACAAATATTTATTGTTTATGAAATGTGTTTAAACTTTAAGCTTTTGGGGTATTTAATTAGAACCCGTGATCTTGGTTTTTAATAGACTTTTTAAGATGTGAAAGAAAGAAGACATTGAGTTGATAAAAATTTGAGGATTGAAGTGAATTTGGAATCAAGGTAGAGATGATTCTGATTGAATGGCTTTATTGTAAGCAATGAGTTGAATGACCCATTAAAAAAGAGGGATAAGGTGTGATTAGAGGTGGAAGGAAGTGATCGAGAGAGGAATTAAGTAAAATTTTACTTTGTTTAGGTTAGGGCTTATTTTATTTGGTTCAGTTCAGGTTTTGATTTAGAGTTGACTATATCAATACATAGATAACTATTACATACATACATAGATAACTATTACATACATACATAGATAACTATTACATATAGTACCATGGACGTATATGCATCCATAAATTCATACATGCATCCATCGTCCATAATACAGGCATCCATCGTCCATAATACAGGCATTCATTCATCCATTCATGCATACATACAAGCAAGCATACATCCATCCATTCATGCATAAATCTATGCATCCATCCATCCGTTCATCTATGCATTCAGCAATCTATCAATGCATTTATCCATGCATGCATGCATGCATCCATCCATTGAGACATCCATCCATCCATGCATCAATGCATCCATCCACCATACATCAATGCATCCATCCATTGAGACATCCATCTACCCATACATCCATCTACGCATCCGTCTTCCATACAAACATGCGTCCAATTTATGCATGTATTTATCCATACATACATACATCCCTACATTTATACATGCATGCATGTACACATGGATGAATACATGCATGGATATATATATACCATCCATTAAGACATCCATCCATCCATGCATCAATGCATCCATCCACCATGCGTCAATGCATCCATCCACCATGCGTCAATGCATCCATCCATTTAGACATCCATCTACCCATACATCCATCTATGCATCTTACATACAAATGTCTTATATACAAACATGCATCCAATTTATGCATGCATTCATCCATACATACATCCCTACATTTATACATGCATGCATCCATCCATGCAAGCATGTATATATACATCCATGCATGTATTCATCCAAGTGTACATCCCTGCATCCGTGCATGCGTACATTTTTGCGTCCATCCATCTATTCATTCATCTACACATTCATCCATACATCTATCCATACATCCATACATGCAGATATCTATGCGTCCATCCTTTAACCATACATCTATACATACATCCATACATCTAAGCTACATCCATGCATGCATACATACATCTACGCTAACATACATACATGCATACATACATACATACATGCATACATACATACATACATACATCATATATACATGCATCCTTGCATGAACGAATCCATCTACCCGTACATATCTATGAATACATCATCCTTACATCTATATGGTAGAAATCTTTGAAAAAATTTAATTAGCAAAATCAACCATAAACTTATTTAATTAGCAAAATCGACCATTTTTTAGCCACGTCAGAATGTGGTTGAAAATTGGTTAGTTTTTCAAAACAATAAAGTTCAAAAATAACTCAAGACTAGCACTCTCGTGCTTCGTGCAAAAATTGAATGTGTGAGTTAATTACGTAGTTTTGGGTAAGAACTAATATATTGGATTCTAAAAGACTATATGTGGGGTCCAAGTCAATGGTGAGAGATTTGTTACACAAGTTTTATAGATAAGCGTGTTTGATGGTCCCACTAGGGAGATTGGTATGAGTGAGCCCCATGAGAGAGAGAGGTGAAAGTACATATGAATTAGTTACGTAGGCTTGATTCTCAATGCCAATAAAATAGTTAGAATTTGTGTTCAATTAATTACATGGTACTAGCAGTGATTTAAAAAGCGGTTTGGGGCGCGCGCCTCGGGCGCCGGGCGCTGCGGCGCAGCGGTGTAGCGCCCCGCATGAGGTGCGGGGCGCTCCGCTTCGCTCAGGCGCGCGCCTCTGAGTGCTCCACAGCACCGCCTGAAAGGGGTCGAGGCGTGCACATCATTTTGAAGGGGGTCTGGTTGTTTTAATTGTGGGCTATCGGGTAAAGAACCCGACTCAGAACCCGACTCAATCTAAAAACCCAAAGTCCCAGCTTGTTATTCGATCTCACCTTTCGATTGTCACAGCTGCAAACATTTAGGGCTTCTTCCGTTCTCTCTTTTGCGTCTTTCAGCGAACGGAGGTCGACGAGCAGCCGGAGGTCGACGAGAACGCGGTGAGCAAAATTTTTCCATTTTTTTCTTTCTCTGCAGCTATGCTCGTTTTTATTTTCTTTATTTTCTTTTCTTTTGGTTCGTGTTGAGTGATCTGTCTTCGTGAGTTCGTGACTTCGTGATTGTTTCTTTTCTTTTCCTTCGTTTTTTTCTTGCAAATATACATGCATCTTTGTATTCATCCACCTACCCATACATACATACATAATACATACATGCATGCATTCATGCATCCATCCATACATATCCATCCATCCATTCATACATACATCCATGCACGCATTCGTCATACGTAATGCATCCATGCATGCATCCATCCATCCATACATATTTACATACATCCATCCACACATACATACCCTTAATCAATTAATCCAAATATCCATCCGTAAATACAAAAATACATGCATCCATGCATCCGTCCATCCATCCGTGCATAGAAGAAAGCACATGCAATTAACGCATTCACGCATGCATTCATACATATACACATATATACATCCATGTGTCCATATATGCATACGCACATACAAATAAACATACATCCATAAATAAATTCATGCATGCATACATCTATGTATCCATACATCTATGTATCCATACATCTATATATGCACACACATACATACATCCATACGCATATTTATTGCATATATACATCCATGTATTCTCATATCTATGTATTTATACATACATACATATGTACAATAGCAGATCTAGATATTGTTCATTGTTGTCACATGACACCAGATGGTTGCAGGTGTTGATGAATTTTCCTTAATGGATGTAACCCATACCCTTTTGAAGACTTAATCAGCTCCACATCCTTGAGAGGCTCTTATCAGCTATCACAATGGTCTTGAGCTGCTTCCACACTCGTCTGAGAGCAAAATCATCGAGCATCCGAATTGGCTTATGAGCCATTCCTTCGTCGCTCCATCAACATATAAGACTGAAAGGGAATGTGGCCAAACAGCAAATGACCTTTGAGATAAGCTTCCAATGTCCTTGACAAGATTGATGGCAACATGACATATTTTTCTAAAGTCGACCATCCTAATTTGTCCATAGATATACCCTGAGTAGGAGCCACGTCGAGAATGCATGTCCCTTCCTCAATCACTAAGCAACATGAAGACACACAACCTCACACATCACTTCCCTTTCATATATGGGAGCATATCTACCCACAAGAACCAATCCACATTTAGATTGAACAATATGAAAAATTTAAAACGATACACTGGAAGAGATAGTCTAACCATTTATAAAAGTCCATGACTAGGTCCACAAGCGGTGGGGGATCACAGACAAGTCCACAAAGGAAGGTAAATGATGCATCCAATATTTTAAAGAGCCTCCGACTAGGCTGCCTAGATGTACACCTAGTCCTAGGCGGTACCTTGGCTATCTACCTAGCACGTAGACAGTAGCTGGGCTGTCTACCTATATTTTGGGAGAGCTTAGGTGAACGCGATCTGCCTACATGGATGACACCCTTTGGGCATTGATCATGAATTTCTCCATTGCAGCATCCATGTCCTCTAACCTCCTCCAAACTCAACCTATGAACACCTCCTCTACCTCCACTGACCTCGAACAAAACATCCTCCACCACCCCTTAAGAAATTTGCTTACATGTTAGTGCAACGTCTAAGCTTTCTATAACATTAACATTTACTATCAATAATTATAATAAAAACTAATAAAATAAAATAGGATAACGCCTAGGCCCCTACTAGGCTTTTGCCTAGGCCCTTCCTTGTCTTTCGCCTAAGCCCCCTAGATTCTAGGCGTCGGGTTCAACGCCTAGTCCATCATAGAATAATGCCATGTAATCTGTGTTCGTGGTGTAGGTTTTGATAGTCTCTTTCTCATCTCGATCATTGTGCACATGTTTCATTGAAGCATATGTTATCCCTCTTTTCGAAGAGCTTGTTTTCCATATCGTCTCTCAATGATAACTTACTCAGATCTCAATATTAATGACCTACTCCTCGAATGTGTTGGATCACTTGCATCCTTTCAACAGGTTTTTCCGCATAATCTACCGTAAACAATCTAGATTTTGATTTAGAGTTTAACATACTAATACAATAGAATTATTAGATTTTTCAAGTAAGAGCAGTATTTTGTATTTTTTACTTTTTATTTTCTTTACATGACATCTAGATTATTGCCCTCCTTAAATTTTGTTGCCTCTTCCAACGATAATCTACTGATTTGAGTGTCGTAAGGATTTTTTGACCAAGCCCTAACTGTGGACTCATAATGTTTCTTTATGTAGATTTGGTGTATAATTTCTTTCTCATCCTCCCTTTTGGCGCAGATTCTTTAGAGATTATGGTGCCTGTATCGGCTCTCAAAGATGAATTTTTTAAATCTCATTATCCAAGACACTCCTGGAATTTTGTAGTGTAGGACCACTCAGATCCTTGCAACTGGTTCTCCCACATAATCAACCAGATACAATGCAGGTTTTGATTTAGAGTTTACCACACTAATGCCATAGATTATTGCTAATTTTTTTAGATAAGAACACTTTTTTTTTTGTTTTTATACCTACATTTTGGAGCACAAGTTTTACTTATTAGACCAAATCTTTCTTGTTACGCCAATATTTGGTTGAGGATGGGTTAGACTAATTTGTGGGGAATTGCATTGACACAAGAGGCCCGG